ATCAAACACTGTGTTCTTTGGGTTCATGGCAACTTGATTCTTCGCAGCGTCACCAATAAGCCGCTCCGAGTCTGTGAACGCCACATAGATGGGTGTTGTGCGATTACCTTGATCGTTCGCTATGATTTCCACTTTTCCGTGTTGGAATACTCCTACACACGAGTATGTTGTTCCCAAATCTATTCCAATTGCAACCATTTTAATTGCTTTCTTGTACTATTTAATATTTCAATTAAACTTATTTATTATTAACTCTCAATAATATTCTTAAATTGCTTCTTATGCACTTGGTAAAAAGTTGTTTGTATTCCGTTTTGTTTGCTAAATGACTTTAGCTAAGTTTGTTTTGTTTATTCGCTTTGACTTTTCAATTGAATCTATGCGAAGGAGAGATTTTCGGCCGGTATTTATATAAAGTCAGCCGGAGAGAGAATTTTCGAGAACAGATTTCTTGATGTTTCTGGAAATGTGTATACACCATTCGCTACTCGCAATTGAGAAAAACGATAAAGCGTTGTAAAATATGTTGCCAGGAGGAATCTAGAACACTGTAGTTCCAAAGATTTTAATGACGCTATCTATAACTACAAAATTTTTCACAAAGAACAAATTCTGTAAACCTTTAGGGTGAAATGAAATTGCTGAAAAAAGCATATAACGTATGCAATATACAAATAATCGAAATAATTAAAATCAATAGTGTTTGTTTATATGTTGAAAAATTTACAACTATTGTCTGTTGAATCTCTCTGACAGTTCGAGAGTCTACCATTGATGGTTGCCTCTTTCAGTTAATAAAGAGTGTATGAAAGAGTAGTTCTCTCATAAAATTGTTAGTATGAAATAAATTTACTAGGAATGAAATATTTTTCTCGGCGGTAATAATTGATGAGTAGTTGCTTTATAGCATTTACTACTTAAACGTAATGCTATATGAAAACTTCATAATATTTTTATTGAACGAGTTATTTTGCTGATTTGTCTAGATTTATGTAGTTGGGGGAAATTTTTGCTAATTTTGTGATTGTCAAATTTGTAGCTAGAAATCTATTGACTGTTTCGTGGATAACCGGTTGCGTCCGAATCAGTTGTACATTTCGGAATAGAGTAGCATACTCTACCGGTGGACGAGAACAAAATCGTATGATGTAGATCGGCTTAAAATTTATATCCATCATCGGAAATATACGATTAAAACTATTAAGCAAATCTATACAAATACATATGTATGTATATTCAGTAATGTTGATTTATACCAAATCGAATGTGGTCGTTTGCATCACGATAATGATCGGATATATACCAAATTTTAGATTTCTAACGATTTTGTAGACATAGTTCACATTTATCAAAAACGATAATTTATAGTCCTATTCCACTTTCTTTCATAAACGGGTATTACTGCTCTTTTAAAAATCAGCGTTGCGCAATATTTATGTCGCTTTGTAAATACGGTAGGTCAACTGTTTTATATCAAATCATATAAAACTTAATTTGTATTTCCCTTTTCATTACGTTAAATTTTATTTATTAATAAACATTTCTACATTATTTATTCCTCGCCTCCATTCTCTAACTATATTTAACAAAATGTGATTGAACTTTTGTTTGTTTATTTGTTTGATTATATAGCTAATGTTGAATTTAAATATAACATTATGGCTCTTTTTCGTACTGATACCCTCCGTTCTCATTTCCCAAAAATACATTTGTACATACATACATATATTTGAATAAGCGTTCCCGATTGAAAAGAGGAGGAGATAGTCCTCTCCAACTTTAGAACAGTTTCTACTTTTCTCTTCCCAATAATTGCACCCTTTTGACGACAGCTGTCGCATTTTAAGCGAACAGCTCATAGACATTTCGAGAAATGTCAAGAAATCTGTTCTCGAAAATTCTCTCTCCGACTGACTTCATATAAATACCGGCCGAAAATTTCTTCTCGGCATAGATTGAATTGAAAAGTCAAAGCGAATAAACAAAACAAACTTAGCTAAAGTCATTTAGCAAAACAAAACGCAATACAAACAACTTTTTACCAAGTGCATAAGAATCAATTTAAGAATATTATTGAGTGTTAATAATAAATAAATTTAATTGAAATATTAAAAAGTACAAGAAAGCAATTACAATGGTTGCAATTGGAATAGATTTGGGAACAACATACTCGTGTGTAGGAGTATTCCAACACGGAAAAGTGGAAATCATAGCGAACGATCAAGGTAATCGCACAACACCCAGTTATGTGGCGTTCACAGACTCGGAGCGGCTTATTGGTGACGCTGCGAAGAATCAAGTTGCCATGAACCCAAAGAACACAGTGTTTGATGCCAAACGATTAATTGGACGAAAGTATGATGATC